CCGCCATGGCCTCCGCCTTGAGCACCACCACGCAGCTTGGCGGCAGCTGCCGGCCGTTGGCAAGGTCCAGCAGCTGCAGCTCCAGGCGCTGCCCAGGTGCGCTCATCACTTCGGACATCATAAACTCCGCCTCGCCTGCAGCGCAGGTCAGGGCAGCACGCGGGTAGCGTATGCGAGCGAGCGGCGGCAGAGGCGAGTGAGCGGCAGCGCAGGCACAGAGGGCAGGAAATGGAGCAGAGGCAGCGCGTGAGCAGCAGCACGTGAGGAGCAGAGCAGCGAGTGGAGGGCAAGCAGCTAGGAAGGCAACTGCAGCAGCGGCAGCATCCCAGCCCGCACCCTCGGACAGCGCAGCTCCTGGTGTAGCACAGCACCACCAGCACCACCACCAGCCCACACCCACTTCACCCGCCCACACACCAGCACCGCCACCCCTGCCAGGCACCCTTGCTGCCGCAGCCCACCCAGGTAGTCCTGGCCCGCCAGGCTGAGCGCCTCGGGCCTCTTGGCTCGCTTGTCCACATCGTACACCACCACCCGCATCGGCTGCGGCTGGCCCTCGGCGCTGTACCTGGCCAGCACGGGATGCACAAAGTCGGGATCTGCGGGTACGCGTGTGGGTGTGTGAGTGGGTGGGTGAGTGGGTGGGTGAGAGGGCGGCGGGTGAGAGGGTGGGTGAGCGAGCGTGTGGGCGGGTGTGGGGGCGTCACGCCACGCACGGGGCAGGGCAGCCGGCCCGCCGCTTGGTGCCGCCCAATCACGCCCGCACACCCCGCTGTGGCCACCCCATGCGCACAACACGCCTCGCCCGCCCCGCCTCGCCTGCGGTGTTGGCCACAACGTTGGTGCGCCCCAGCTCCGACCACTGCGTCTGTCCCGTGGCCGCAGAGGAGTAGAGGACGACCATGGGGTCCGACTTGCTGCGGCAGAGGGCAGTGGGCAGCGGCGGCGGGACATGAGGAAGCGGAAGTAGAACAGCAGGAGCACATGCCTGGGTCGGAGCAGCATATGCTTAGCCTGGGGCACACCCCAGTGGGGAGTATACAGCTTCTGTACCACGGCATGCCCTCCCAGGGCCGCACCTGAGCGTGTCCTTGCGCGGCAGGCCTCTGCACGAAAACCTGATTTCGACCCGAGTGGCCATGCCCAGCTGAGACATCGCCTCTGCCGCTATCTGGGCGGCATTCAGGTTGACCTGGCCCACGTGGCCCTCCTGGACCCTATCCTCGACGGACAGAACGCTGCCCATCTGTGGCACGGAGGGCGAGAGGCGAGGCAGGGTGTCGGGGGGCGGCAGGGGGCAGATGGCGGCACGCGGCGGCGGCGGTGGCGGCGGCAGCCGTCACTTGGCGGCGTGCATCTCGGTGTGCATCCCGGCGGATGAGGCTGCGCTCGCGTGCGTGGCAGTCGTTCGACCCAATTCAGGAAGCGAGCAAGGCGATGGGGACGGGGTGGCGAGCCAGCGGTCCCACCTCGCGAGTACGGTGTACCGGTGGCTCGAACCGACTGTAACGTGTGCGATGCCGCTTTAAGACCGTTGTGACAGCACAGATGGGCGTTGCGACATCGCCCGATGTACTGACATTTATGCCCTGCTGCCGCTGTGCAGTGCGTGTGCCATGCCGCCACTGGGCGGGAGCCTGTTTGGGGCACTTCCAGCAAAATGTAGAATTGCCATAGCTTCCAATTGGATACAAATTTATCGAAAAAGCAAATAGATCGGCCAGGAGATGTCAGAACAGCGGAACGCATGCCGTTGGCGCCGCAAAACAACAGCGCTCGAGAAAGGACCCACCCAAGGCAGGAAGAATGGGGCAGGGAATCAGGCAAAACTGAATGAAAAAGGGTTGGGATTAGGAAAGAGGATCTGCACATCAAGCCGGGGTGAGCAGGGTGACGGCTTGCCAGGCAGAGGCCAGCAGCAGCAGCGAGTAGCTGAGTCCCGACATGGCTTGCTCCTCTGGCTCCTTGCCCATCCAGCCCAGCAGCCCCAGATAGCACTGCTCTGCCAGCCCACTGGAAGGCTGCAGGCACGGCGCCGTCCCGGCCGCTGGCGCCGGCTGCTCTGCAATGGCGCTGCCCATCACAGCGCTGGGTGGGCCCGCTGCCGTGCTGCCGCCGCCACCGCTGCTGCTGCTGCTGCCACTGCCGTCATTCCAGGAGCTGCTGCTGCAAGATGGCTCGCCGATCGCTTCTCCCTCCCAACACTGGTGAACGGCTCCCAGCTCTTTGACGCGCAGCTCTGCTCGCTGCTGCTCCTCCTGCTGCTGCTGCTGCTGTTGCCAGCGGCGATGGTACTGCTGGAACAGCATGCTCTCGGATGCCGCCAGCACCAGGGTGGGCGCCAGGAAGCCCAGCAACAGCTCCGCCAGGCCCAGCACCGCCCGGCAGCGGCCCAGGGGCCCGTGCTGCGGCGAGGAGGCAGCCATGGGCCGCGACAGCAGGCGCAGCAGCGCCGACAGGAAGCCGTACGCGGCGCCGGCTGCCCGCTGCGCGGCGGGGTGCTGCAGCGCCGCCGTGCTGCAAATGTCTGGGTTGCGCCGGCCAATCAGCAGCATGACGGCGGCCTGGGTCGGGATGTGCATCCAGAGGCGCACGGGGCGCGCCAGCGCCTGCGGCAGGCGGCAGTCGCCAAGTTAAGCTAAGGAGCGGCAGGATCTAGCCAGGGCCTTGCTTGCAGAGCGGGTGTGCCGCCGCAGCGGCAGCTTTCGCCGGCACACAAGCGGCCGCCGGTGTGCTCATCAACGACAAGGCTGACTCTCCAACTCCGTTCTGCCATGCATGCAATCAACCGCGAGATGCCTCCTGCTCACCATGACGCTGCCGGTGGCCGAGAAGCTGCTGAACAACACGACAAGTCCAAAGGCTGCCGTGTCCCGCAGCCCGCTGCCGCCGGTGTATGGCACAGCGCCGTTGAGCGACTGCTGGGTGATCTTCCAGGCCGCGGGGGAGGCAGCCACCGCCAAGCGGAAGGCCACGGCTGGCAGCTCGCGGTAGCGAGCAAAGGAGCCGGGATGGAAGCGGCGCCATGCCAGCGCGCCGAGACAGACCGCTGCCATGGCGGCCAGAAAGGCCAAGTCGGCGGCGCCCAGCACCGGCCAGCCTCGCACCAGGCCGGCCACAATCACTATCTGCAGCAGGGGTTAGGGGGCGGGAGCGTGCAAGGGCGTAGCTGAATAATCGGGGAGAGCCCTTCTCGGCCAGCTGTCCACGGACTCTCGCCACTTCTTGAAGCGCTCACCAGCCCTAGGGTGTCCAACAGGGGGCCATCCTGCGCGGCATTTTTCTGCAGCACGCTGTATGCGAAGCTGGAGCGCGGCGCGATGGCTGTAAGCATTGCATTGGTGTTTAAGGTAGGGACAAACGCACGATACAGCGTTGGGAACCGTGCATTCCTGGACGGCATTGCCGCCGCCATGGCGCGCCAAGCGTGCCGACCCCGCAGGTCGTTTCCAAGCTGCCCCCGTAGGCTGTTGTGATGACAGTCGGATAACGCAACAATACGCTCTTGCAAATCAAATGAACAGTTGGGCCTCATCATGTGGTGCTCGCCGCGCGGTGGCGCCTGCCAAGCGCCGTTCAGTCCGCCGGCGTCAACAGCAGAATCAGCTGCGAGGCAGAGGCGAGCAGCAGGGAGCAGCAAAGGACGGCCGCCATCCAATCGGCCGCCTCGTACGGCATGCCCGCCAGCAGCCCCAGGTAACCCCGCATCGCCAGCCGGCTGGGGGCTTTCAGAGCGGCTGCAGTTCCCCCTCTGCTACCGCCTGCTCCAAATTGGCTGCTGCTGATTGATGGCTCAGCGGCCGCCAGCTCCTCCCGTTGCTGCTGCTGCTGTTGCCAGCGGCGATGGTACTGCTGGAACAGCATGCTCTCGGTTGCCGCCAGCACCAGGGTGGGCGCCAGGAAGCCCAGCAACAGCTCCGCCAGGCCCAGCACCGCCCGGCAGCGGCCCAGGGGCCCGTGCTGCGGCGGCACCGCTGCTGCACGCAGCGGCATCAGGCGCAGCAGGGCGGAGAGGCCGCAGTACACGTGTCTGGCTGCCCGCTGCGCCGCGGGGTGCTGCAGCGCCGCTGTGCTGCAGATGTCTGGGTTGCGCCGGCCAATCAGCAGCATCACAGCGACCTGGGTCGGGATGTGCAGCCAGAGGCGCACGGGGCTGGCCAGCGCCTGCAGGGCAGTCATGTGGGTCAATTTGCATGCATCATATGCCCAGGGGACCCCGACAGATCAGAGGCCTGCATGCCTACTCAGGTGCTGCCTTGCCTCGGCAAGCGGGCCCCGCCCCGTGGCCGAAGCCCCACTCACCATCACGCTCCCGGTGGCGGCAAAGGAGCAGAAGACGATCAGCAGGCCAAAGGCTGCGGCGTTCCACAGGGCGCTGCTGGCGCTGTAGGGCGGCGCGCCGTTCAGGGCCTGCTGGGTGATCCTCCAGGCTGTGGGCGAGGCTGCCACTGCCACCCGCATCGCAACGGCCGGCACCTCGCGCCAGCGGGTGTAGCCGGCAGACCAGCGCAGCCTCCAGACGAGAGTGCTGCCGCTCAGGGCAGCCAAGGCGCCCAGGAATGCGGCATCGGCAGCGGTCAGGATTGGCCAGGAGCGCAGGAGGCCTGAAGCAATGACGCCCTGCGGTAGGGGAGCCCTCGATGGGAAGGGAAACACCCGAGTGCGCCCGCCAACGAACGCGGTGGGCGGTACCACGCAGGGGCATCGTCAGCACCGCGCTGTTGCGTTTCGGCATGCCCACCAGAGCTAGCACGTCCAGCAGGCCGCTGTCCTGCGCCGCCCTGGCGTCTCTCAGACAAGTGGCAAAGTTGGTGGCCGGCACCGGGTGCGGAGGACCCCTCCTGACCATCTCCAAGGGTGGCAAGGATGTAGCAGCGCGCTTCATTCGGTAAGTGGTATGTATATTGACGCCTCATAGATGTAGGCCTTGGTCCAAGGCCACGTCAGCTTCGGCATTGGCTACAGACCCATTGCACGCCCAGGAGACATTGCCACATTTAGCCCTGAGTTGCAGCGGGAGCGAGAGCTCTGCCATCGCCGACATGGAGTCCGACCCGCCCAAGCTCTTCGTGGACCGCCTCTCGCAGCCCAGCCGCACCTGCCTGATCTTCTGCAGGTGGGTGACGCGCGCGCCGACCGCACCCGGGGTGCCCCGCCCACCCGCCGCTTGGCGCCGCTGCTGCCGCCGTTCAGCCTCCACCTCGCCTCCCAGGCCGCCTCCCCTCCCCCTGTGCCCTGCAGGGTTGCGGGCATCCCGTTTGAGGAGAAGGTGGGTGGTAGGGGTTGCATTTCGCGCGGTGCGGCAGGCCAGGTATGGGAGTGCTGTGTGTCCTGGGCTGTGCTGCTGACAGGCGCTCATCAACACCCCTCCTGCTGCGCACCCTCCCAATCTGGCCTCCAGGTCGTGACCCTGGGCAAAAAGGAGCAGCTGCGGCCCGAGTTCCTGGCCGTCAACCCGCTGGGCAAGGTGCCCGCGCTGCAGGTGCGTCCCTGCCTCGCGGTGGTGGCAGGCCCAGGCAGGAGGCAGGCAGCACGGACGGCGCACCGGCCCCCGCATACTTTGCATAGAACAGTAGCTTGCGCTCCCTTTCCTGCTCCCGTACCCACCCGGAATCCACATAAAGCCACACCTGTCGCGTCCGCCGCCATATTTGGCCGTCATGCCCGCGCGCCGCTGCCCGCCCCCAACTTTCCGCCCAGGACGGCGCCTTCTGCCTGCCCGAGAGCTCCGCCATCCTCAAGTACCTGTGCGGCAGCCGGCGGGCGGCAGACCACTGGTACCCCCGTGAGGCAGCTGCGCTGCAGCTGCGCCTGCCCCCTCCAACCGCCCGCCCCCTGGGCCTTCCCACCCGCTCCCGCGGGCTGCGCTGTGCTGGCCGGGCTGTGCCGGCCGCGCCTCCCTGCCTCGGCTCCCGCCGCCGCCCCGCCGCTCACTCCGCCTGCCCGGCTCCTGCCCGGCCCCTGCCCGGCCCTGAGCTTATGTGCGCCCCCGTGCAGGCGACCTGCGCGCCCGCGCCCAGCTGGATGCCGTCATGGCCTGGCACGCGTCCTCGCTGCGCATCGGCTCCATGCTGGTGGTGTGGAACCGAGCCATCAGCCTCAAGTGAGCGCCGGCCCTGGCCCCTGGCCCCGCGGCAACCCTGTGGCAGCCCTGTGGTGGCCCTGTGCTGTGGTCCCTGGCCCCGTGGCAGCCCTGTGCTGGGTATCCGGGCGCCTGCCTGGCCTCCTCCAGCGCCTCTGGGGGCTGCCCGTGCACCCCGCTGACCTACAGCACCGATGCCCCGCCACCGCCGGACGTCCCCCTCCTGCTGCCGCCGCCGCCGCCGCTGCAGCCTGGGCTTCCCCAGCAACGAGCCGCTGGTCACCTCTTACGGCCTGCCCACCCTCGTGACGGCGCTCGAGGTGCGGCCGAGCCCCCTGGCCGCCGCCGCCGCCCGGCGCCGCTGCTGCCTGCTGCCTGCCGCCGCGCGCCGCTCGCCGCCGCTGCTTGGCGGCGCCGCCGGCGATGCCTGCGCACGCCCGTTGCCCAATCGTGGTGGTTGGCAGGCCCGCGCCGTCCTCAACACACGCCGCCCGCCCCGTCCTCCTTTCTTCCCTGCCAGCACCTGGAGCGCGTGTGGCTGAGGGAGGGGCCGTTTGTGGCGGGGCGGCGCCAGCTCAGCGTCGCCGACCTGCTGCTGGTGTGTGAGGTGGAGCAGCTGTGCCTGCTGGATGGGGCCACACAGGTGCGCAGGGGAGCCGCCGCGCGGCCGGGCGGCAGCCAGGCGCGCCGGGCGGGCGCCCTTGCACGGGCGTGCATGTCGCCTGCCCTGCGCGGAGGCACAGGGGTGGGCGCGCGGCTGGGGGAGGATCGCGCATGCCACGCTCTGGCAGCCAGCTTGCCACCATGCCACACAAACCCCACACCACACACACACTCCTCCTCCTCTTCCTCCTCCTTTCACCCCATCCCCGTTCCCGTCCCACTCCCCCTCCTCCCCCTCCTGCCGCCCTGCAGGGCCCCGGCATGGCCGAGCTGCTGGCGCCCCACCCGCGGGTGCAGGCCTGGCTGCAGCGCGTGCGCCAGGAGTGCGCGCCGCACTACGACGGTGGGCGGGCTGGGCTGGGCTGGGCTGGGCTGGCTGGGCGGCACACGGAGGGCAATGTGCACACGGAGGGCACACGGAGGGCGTGCTGCCTGCGGTTTGGTGGGCTGCTCTGCCTGCAGGAGCTTGCCGCTGTCCTCGAGGCCCGCTGTCACAGCGCGCCGCCTGCCGCTCGACAGGGCGCCAGCACGCAGCCTCACGCCGTCACCTGCACCCCTGCTTCTCCCCATGCCCTGCAGAGGTGCACGCCCTGCTGCGCAAATCCAGGGACAGGCTGGTGGCGCGCAAGCAGCAGGCCGGCAGCAAGCTGTGAGCGCCAGCGGCGGGCGGCCTGCTCCTCCCCCGAGTTCAGCCCGCGCATCATCTGGGCAGGTTTGGAGCCAGCCTGCGGACTCTGCTTCGAGCCTGGCACACAGTTTTGCAGCCCTGCACAGCTTCTCTTCCACTCCTGTTCTGCCTGCCATAGTGTTCTGCCTGGAAGGAAAAGCTCGTCTTAAAGTAAGCTTGATGTCAAATACCTCCCTCGAGCAAGAGCAGCAGCACAGCAGCGCAACATACGATGGCCCAGCTATCTACGGCGACATTCCTGCGCTGCCGGCGCTGCCGTACGCAGCGCTGCTGGCCAGGCTGCGCCGCCGCCTGCCGCCGCGAGTCGTCCTGCTGACCGATGCAGCCGCAGCTCCTGTGGCCTCACTTCCGCTGCCAGCTGGCTCGGTCTCGGCCTGCGTACTGCCGCCGCTGGCTGTGCCGGCGGTGGCCGCTGTCGTGGCAGGCCGGGGCGGCCTCGCCGCACGCCCGCCGCCGCCGCCGCCGCCGCCACCTCCCAGCAGCTGCAGCAGCTGCTGCTGCAGCGCCACGCTGCTGCCCCGCTTGCGCTTGTGCCCCGCGGCTGCGGCGGCCTCGCCGCCATCTGCTGCCGCCGCCGCCGCCACATCACCCTCCGCATCGGCCCCCGGCACCCCTGCCGGCACGTGGTTGCCCACAAACGCTCTGAGCGCGTGGCGTGCCTGCGGTGGCAGCTTGCCCAGCAGGCTTGCCGCTCCCCGTCCTCCTCCACCACCTCCGCCGCCGCCGCCGCCGCCGCCACCAGCCTGCAGCTGCGCAGCCAGCGCTGCCAGAACCTTGGAGGAAGGGTGCATGTGGTGCAGCAGGCGGGCTGCCGCAAGCACCGCAGTCTCCGCCTCGGCGCCCCCCGCTGCAGCCCCAGCAGCAGCCAGCAGGGCTTGCACAGCCTGGCTAGTGAGCAAGTCGCCGCGAAGGTCTGCCTCTGAGAGCAGGCCGGCCGCAGGGTCGGCGAGCACCTGAGGAGAGTGGCAAGACATGGGAAGGCAGGGCAAAGGCAGGGCAAGGCGTGAGCACGACGCTGGGCAGCGGCTGCTGGGGCTGGGGAGGAGCGCGGCTGGCAGGCTGCGTCAGAAGCAGGCCAAGTGCATGGGGTGGGCCCTTGTCTCAGTGCAGGCCTGCTGCCCCGTCGTCTCCCCATCTGCTGCGAGCCTCACCTCTGCAAGCCGCTGTCGGCTGGGCAGCGGGGTTTGGTGGAAGAGGTCCAGGCAGAGGCGGGCACGCTCCCTTGGCGCCGCCGCCGCCAGCATCTGCCGCAGGGCATGCTTCACCAGGGCGGCGACGGCAGGGGCGCCGCCTGCCAGGGCCGCTCCCACCGGCCCCAGCACGCCCCGCAGCTTGAGCTTGTTGCGAAGCAGCAGGCGGCAGTAGGCGGCGGCCGCCACCTGCGCCAGCCGCTGCCCCGCCGAGGCATCCGCAGCCGCCCTGAGCGCCTCCGGCTCTGCTGCTGCAGCTGACGCAGCTGCGGCTGCTACTGCTGCTGCACCCGTCGGCCCTGCAGGCTGCTGCTCGACCCTGCCAGCATCCTCTGCCTCTGCCTGCTCTTCCTTTGCCTGCCCTGCCTCCATAGCTCCGCCAGCCGCCGCTCCCTCGCCCGGCGCCGCCGCCTCGCCGGGAACCATCAGCCGCCCCACCAGCACAAGCTTGCAGCTGAAGGCATTGGGGAAGGCATCTATTGCATCTGCCAGCACCGCCACTGCCGCCTCTCGCACCGGCTCTGCGCCGCCACTGCCACCCGCCTGTAGGCGGCCCTCTGCCACGGCGGCGGCGCGGCGGCACAGCGGCTCAGACAGGACCGCCAGCCGGCCCAGCGCCCGCAGCGCTGCTGCCTGCAAGCATGAGGATCGGGGGTTCACATGCTAGGCTTGAACACCTCAGCACAGCAGGCTGCACTCTGCAAGCAGCAAAGCCTCAAAGCGCTTAGACAGGCAGGCTGCGCTCCAGCCTGCATTCCGCACACGCGCCTGGATCGCGGCAGGCGCCGCCTCTGCCGCCGCCAGCCGCTCCAGCAGCGGCAGGTAGCAGGCGGGCGGCGCATCGCCCGCTGCCAGCAGAGAATCAAGATAGCGCTGCGCCGCTGCCTCGTGCTTGGCCGCCTCGTCCTCGGCCTGCATGTAGTCCCCTCCGCTGCCGCTGCCGCCGCCACTTGGAGCAGCCGAGGCCTGCAAAGAGTCGCCCTTGGCGGCCTCCCCTGCTGCTGCTGCTGCTGCGGAGGGCACGGCTGCCGCATCGAGCTGCTGGCCGCCCGCAGCGTCGCCCACCCACCACTCTGCCGCGGGGCGCAGCGGCCGGCCAGCCTTGCTCTTGTGGGCCTGTGCCTGCTGCTGCTGCCGCTGCTGCTGGCCATGGCAGCTGCCAGCCTGCAGCTCCTGTAGAAAGGCAGCTCGCTTCTCTTCGTAGCTTCCAGCCATGCTACCCAGCAGCTCCAGCAGCGCCAGCAGGGCCTGCTGCTGCACGTGCTGCTGCTGCAGGCTGGCAGCTGGAGGCTCTGCGGCGGGGCCACCGCCGGAGCCGGCCTGGCCGGACACAACTTCAGGCCCAGCGCCACCCATTGCTGTGATGAGCAGCAGCTGGCCCTCTGCGCCTTCCCCCATGCGCAGCTGAGCTGGCGCCACAGGTGGCAGCAGGCCAGCAGCTGCCGCGTCGGCGACCCCGCTGCCGGCTGCCGCCGTGAGGCAGCGCAGCAGGCGCAGCGCGGCCTGGGCTTCCCTGGGGAGGGCAAACAAAGCTCCCAGCGCAGCCATGCGCACCTCAGCCGCAGCGCTGGCTGGCGAAAGCAGAAGTGCATGCAGGGCAGGCAGGGAAGCCTGGGCGAGCGCGGCCACCGCCACCTGGCTTGCCGACGGCTCGCAGCTGCTGACCTGGCTGCTGCTGAGCGCACCGGCTACACCCAGCTGCTGCAGAGCCAGGCTGAGGGCCTGCAGCAGCCAACAGAGGCATCTCTGCATGCTGGTGCTGCCGCTGCTGCCGGAACTGAGCCTGCCCAGGGTCGTGCTGACCTCCGCAATCCGCTGCACAGCCCCGGCCAGCAACGCCACCTCTGCTGCCGCCGTCGCCGCATCCCGGCCGCTCAGCGGTCCCAGCACAAACACTGCAGCAGCTGCTCGATGCAGCGCCTCAAGGCTGCCGCTCAAGGCAGCTGCTGTGTCTTGCACAGATGTATCCTCCCCCTGTTCTGCTGACTGGAGGCTGTGGGTGCTGGAGTGAAGGCGCTGGTAGCACAGCCGCACCGCTGCGCCCACCACCTCTGCTGAAGCATGGCCGGTGGCCCCTGTGCCCTCTGCTCTGCTAGCCAGTGCATCCTGCACAGCCCTCCTCACCTGCTGCACCTGCTGCCGGCTCCTTCCATGCAGGGCCGCCGCTAAGTTGTGCAGCAGAGCTGCAGCGCAAGCCTCTGCCGGCCCTGCGCTGCCCCGTGCAGCAGCCGCCGCCGGCGCTGGCAGCAGCATTCCGAGCACAGCAGCCTGCAGCTGAGCGCGGGCGCCAGCATCCCCAATGCATCGTGACAGCTGCAGCAGGTGCACCAGGCCGGACGCTGAGCTGGCGGCGGCAGCCATGCGCAGCACAGCCTGGCCCAGCGCCTGCAGCAACAGAGGGGCAGCTCGATGGAATGCAGCCCGCCACCATTCTCGACTCCAGATGAAAGCGGTCACCGTGCAGCATAGCAAAGCAAGCAAAGTCCACAGCAGCCCCCGAAACCGAAGCGCCCCCCCCCCCCCCTCCACCTTGGCTGCCTCCTCCCCGGGTTGCAGCGCCGAGTCCTGCCTGACGCTCAGCAGCTTGCCCACCACAGGCAGCGCCGCGTCGGCCAGCCTGGCGGCGGCGCCTGGCGCCAGTCGCGCCCCTAGCAGCGCAGCCAGCAGGGAAGCGCCCTTCTTGCGCACGCTGGGGCTCTTGTCGCACAGCCTGCGACAGGAGCGCTGGAGGTTGGCCGCGGCAGTGCCGGTGCACTTGGGGCACGAGTCGTTGCACCCACTCTTCCTCTGCATTAATCTCATGAGCAGGCAGGTGCCTCTGGCCCCAGACACCCCACCTGCTGCTCAGCGCCGGCAGCAGGCGGTCCAGCGTCTGGCCGCCCTCAGCAGCACTCAGGTGCGCCGCAAGCTGGGCAGCGTGCTTCTCCAGGCAACCCAGGGCCTTGGCTCTCAGAGTGGCATCCCTGTCGCTCAGCCGTCTGACGATGGCAGCAAGCAGCAGCGCCACGTGGGTGGACAGCGGCCTGGCTGCTGGTGCAGGCGCCGGCGGTGGTGCCGCTTCTCCTGGAGCTGGCTCAGGGCCCGCGCTGTCAGAGGCCCGCGCCACACAGTTGCGCTGCGGCAGCTGCCCTGCGCGCGGCAGCAAGGCGGAGCAGAGGTCGAGCGCGAGGCGGCGGGTGCTGCTGCGCGGGTGGCTCGCCTGCGGCAGCCACTGCGGCAGGCACAGCAGCAGCGCCGCCTGCAGCTGGGGGCTGCCGCAGGGGCCAGCCAGCATGGCTGCAAATCCCAGGCATGCATCCAGGCGCTGCCCTGCTACTGCTGCCGCCGCCGCCGATGCGGCTGCACGCGAGCTGCCGCCGCCGGTGCTCGCCGCCGCTGCCTGCTGGATGCCCTCTGCCAGCCGGCCGACGATGGTCACCCCTGCCCGGCTGCTCTGTTCCATGACGTCGCCGACGAGGCGCGCCGCAGCAGACAGCACCTGCAACACGATGGGGCAGGTTGCGGTGCTGCCACGCAGAGTCGGCTGGGATCCCATCCCCGGGCCAGCACCCAACACAGGGCAAGCACCCACGAGCACGCAGCGCCGCGCCTGGCCCTTCTGCTTGGGCTCGCTGACAAGCCCCAGCACGTCGGCGAGCGCCTGGGCGGCGGCGGCGTGCGCGCGCCGCTCGTCGGCTGCCACAAAGGGCCGGGACAGGATGGCTGCGGGCAGAGGGAGGCGAAGAGGCACCCACCGCCCGTGGACCTGCTGCAGCCGCAGTACGAAAGGGGCTCCCCTGCCTGCAAGTCAAGCTATTCATAGAAGCCCTCCCACCTGACATGGCCTGCTGGCACGACTCTGCCAGCGCTTTGAAGCTGCTGGAGCTGCCCACCGTATGCAGGGGGTGCGCCAGGCAGTGCAGCGCTGTGGCCTGCGCCAGGCGCGCCGCCGCTCGCAGGTCGCCGAGTGCTGGCAGCAGCACCCGGCTGGCCCAGATCGCCTCTTCGATGGCGCTCACAGCCAGCAGAGCACTGCTGATCAGGCGAGCCGCCGCGCAGGCGGCTGCCTCTGCCGCCGCGCCGTCGCCGCCGCCTCCTCCCCGGCGCGACTTTTTGGCCCGCGGCTGCTGAGGACCCTTGCCGGTCGCGACCGCTGCCCCTGCGTCTCCTTGCTGCGCCGGTGCGGCTGCAGCGCTGCCGCCCTCGCCCCTGGCTATGCAGCACAGGAAGAAGAGGGACAGCTTGAGCGTGTTTCGCAGCGCCAGCAGCTGCCGCGGGTTGCCGGCGTCGACCTCCGACAGGGCCGCGGCGGCCTCCTGCTCGGCCGCCGCCGCCGCCACGGCTGCCTGCTGCCCGGCTGCACCGCCCGGCTCCAGCAGCAGCCTGGCCCGTTGTGCAGCCCAGGCCAGCAGAGACACGAGCTGGGTGCCGGCCTGCTGCCACAGCTGGGTAGAGCCGTGCTTGACTGCTGCCAGCACCACGCCCCACTCCAGCCCCGTCACCGGGTGCTGCCTGGCCTGCTGCAGCCAGGCAGCCAGCTGGGAGGCGTCAAGAGAGGTAGGCGCGCCTGCAAACGCCGGGCTGCTCTCGTCCAGCTCCTGCACGCTGCTGGGCAGCCGCAGGGAGGTCGCCAGACGCTCCATGGTGACCGCAATCTGCTCGCAGAAAGGTCAACGCAGCCAAGGACCCGCCGCCGTTTGCTTTCCTCCCGCCTAGGAGTCCACCGCCGCCAATGAAGCATCCATTTGGTTTACACAGGCTCTCTAGTCATGCGCATACAGATCGATTCACACACGCTTGCAATGCAAGCACAATAGCATGCAACCAAATCATTGGCACAGGGAAAAAGTCCAGCAAGTGCAGGGGGGACCGCAAGAATTGGGCGGGCGCAAGAATGGGCGCCGCGGCAGCGCGGCCTAGAACACACGGACTAAACATCGATGAGGTTGATCGGCGAGCCTCTCAGGGCTCTCTCTCGGCAGCAGTCTCTCCTCTGAGCGCTCCTCTTGGCACCCGCCAGCTGGCACACGCCACCCGCGCGCCCCGCACGCACGCCGGCCCAGCCGGCCAAGCTGGCAGCACCCCGGCCTCCCAGCGCTCCCGGCGACCCCCTCTCCTCCCGCCTCCTCAGCGCATCGGCGCGGGCATGGCCGGGGACTTGGGCATGAAGGTGACGGAGCGGGAGAAGATGGAAGGTGCTGGGGAGCTGGCCACGCCCGCCGCGCCAGGCACCGCCTGCGGGTGCGCCCGCGACGCCCCCAGGCTGTCCACGGGCTGCGAGCGAGGCGGGAACGGCGGCGGGCGTGGCGGCCTCTGCGGCAGGGCGGGAGGGGTGAAGGGGCGGGGAGGGGTGGTCAGGGGCTGGCGGCTGGACAGGCAGCCGGCGGGAGCCGCCGCGGGCGGCGCGGGCGGCAGTGCTCTGCCGCTGCAAATCTGAGGCCTGACCTTCCACCCACCTGCAGGCTGCGGGGCAGCACCACGCGCTTCACGTGCTCCACCGCCTTGTACTCGTAGCGTGCGGCCACCCAGAGGAAGATGAGGAGGTTGAGGGCCATGAGGGCGGCCAGGCAGAGGAAGAAGAGGTCCAGGCGGCCCTGCGGCAGCGGCGGCGGTGGAGCGGGTTGGGGCGACGGGTGGGAAGGTGGGTGGGAGGTCAGGCCTCAGATTTGCAGCGGCAGAGCACTGCCGCCCGCGCCGCCCGCGGCGGCTCCCGCTGGCTGTCTGTCCAGCCGCAAGCCCCTG